GAGTCCTTTTCTCCCCCCCCCCCCCCCATTGACTGGCATGGGGTGGTATTTGTGCAATTCCCAACTCACTCTCTCTGTTTCCTCTGTCTGTTGCTGAACTACCAGAATTAGCTTAATCCCCATGAAACCCACTCTGGCTACAATCCCCCAAATGCTGCCTTCTCTACCCCCATGTACTGCCATTGCTTAAATCTCTGAGCCACCAAACCCTACAGCTCATTTCCATGCCACCCCAATGCCCATCCTTGCTGCTCTGTATGAAGGAGGGCACCCTGGCTCCTTCAGAGAATCTGGTAAATTAGCCAGAGACCCCAAATGTTATGTGGTACCCCATAAATAAAGAGACATGAAAGCAATCCAATGTGTGCAAAGTGCCTCAAAGGACTGGAGTGCATCGTCTGAATAAGCCAGAATATTTACCTTCCAGTCCTCTCCTGCCCTGAGGGCAGGTCCCATTGCTAACACAGGAGTTGGCTGGTCCCTCCTGTTTTAAAATCTTAGCTGGCTACAGATTGGCACTAGGGTGACCAGACAGCAAGTGTGAAAAATCGGGACATGGGGTGGGGAGTAATAGGAGCCTATATAAGAAAAAGACCCCAAAATCGGGACTGTCCCTATAAAATCAGGACATCTGGTCACCCTAATTGGCACAAGCAGCAGTGGGCTGATACCTGTGACTGCACAATGATGAAATGACATGAGCCTCAGGTGGAGTGTGAGCTCTTTGGGGCATGGACTTTTGTTTGTACAGTGTCCAGCATAATGGGTCCCTGATCCTGATTGGCGTGTCTAGGTGCTTCTTTGATAGAAATAATAAACATAATGAATACTTTTCTCTGCTGTAGCCTCTTTCATCCTGAGATTTCAAAGCTTGTTCCAAACAATTGTTAGCTGACCTCCACAGCACTCGTTATTATCCCCATTTCACAGAGGGGAAAACTGGGTCACAACAAGGAGTTAGGACCAACATTTTCTAAAGTGGATCCATTATTCTGAGTATCGTAGTTTTTGGGTGAGAACTTAGGGTCTGATTTTTCATGTGATCCACAGGATGCACTGAAATGACGAGGATCTGTGGGTATCTGGCACTTGTGGAAATCTGAAGTTAGGTAGCCCAAAATGTTGGCATCCAGAGTCAGTTGCCACTTTTCAAAATTGGACTGGACGTGACTTGTCACATTCATAGGTGAGGTGGTAAATGAAGTAAGTTCACTGTCAGTGTGTGAAAGGGAGGCTAAGTAGGCCAGTTTTGGAAATGGCGGTGAAAGCCTTTTCAGACATGTGTCTGTTACGCCATTCAAGGTGTGTAAACAGGCAGTGCAACTTGGAAGCAATCTAAATGTGCTGCACGTGGGACTGTAATGTGGCACAGCAGTTGGCTGGCTGGATTGGAATGGCTATTGGCTGTCTAAGTGGCAGGTGGAATGGGTGTGCATATCCCAATGATGATGATTAATTATATATATATATATATTGCCTTAAGTGTGGGTGATCCAAGCCTCACAATCTAATGTATTTATCCGCACAACACCCCTGCTATTATCCCCACTTTACGGATGGGGAGATAAGGTACAGAGAGGCTAACGGTGGGGTCTGCAAGGGGCTTAGGTGTCTAGTTGCTACATTAGGCACCTGAGTCCAACATTTAGGCTTGGTCTACGCTACAGAGTTAAGTCAACATAAGACAGTTTACGTCAACCTCATTATGTCAGTGTCTGCCCTAGAATGCTGCTTCCACCAAAGTCAGTGGCCTGCTATCCCGAAATAATAACTCCACCTCCATGAGAGGCGTAGCACTTATGACGGTGTAATTAGGTAGCCCCAGTGTCCATGTACACATTGCATTATTTACATCAGTTCTTGGCTGTCATTCTGATCAGTTTCATGGCTGTCCCTGGCTCAGAGCAGCACTGCTGGGTTCACAGCTGGAGCCATGAAACTGACAAGAATGTCAATTTCACTGCTGGTGGGCTCTGTGCCCTGAAATTGAGCCAGGCGCTGGGCTCACAGCTGGAGCCCCCACCCTGGGGTGACAGCCTCCTGTTCCCCACTCACATTTGCCCCAGTTAGTGGGACTCCATTCAGTGCCTGGGTCTGGCCACGCAGAAATGTTTGCAGAGTCAGGGCCTGAGGCAGTAGGCTCCCCCCGCCTTTCTCTCCACCTCCCTCCCCTGTGTGGACCCTTGTCGCCCAGCATCTTCTGCCTGGAGACCAGGATCCCTGAAGTGCTGCAGCCTAAGGGTCACATGTGACCCAGAACGTCTTAAAAGGTGGCAAGCGCAGCGTAGCCACAGTGGGGAAGCCATCACTGACCCACCGCAGGTTTGTTGTGCTGGCAACCTCTGCCAACAAGACATTCCCAGCTGTCTATCACGGCAGATGCAAGGAGGAGCAAAGACTATTTGTGGGGGCAACACTTAGCTTTGGTTTCTAAACGGCATATAAATCAAACGTGGCCCTCAGGCTCCCAGCAGGTTACTCATGGGGCTCTGGGTGTCACAGAGCCCAGGAGCTGAGGAATGACGTTATTTAATACCCATGGCTGGTGGGTGCAGCCCACGAGGTCTTTGCCAGCCCCTGCAGGTGGCGAAGGGTTAATAAAACACTGCAGCCTTCTTTCCCCTGCTGCCTTGAGAATCCACCTCCTGATGCGCCTCTCCCCTCCCCTGCAGAGGCGCCTTTGTAGAAAGGTTCTAAGGTTGTAGAAATATTTTCAGCTGACAGCCTTGATTAAAAACATTCCCCACCCTCTCCGCAGCATCTTCGCTCCTTTGGGGACTACGGGCCAAGGCCATCATCTGTGGGGGAAGGAGCGTGGCGCATCCTTGTGCCGAAACGGACCGATAGCCCCAGCGTGTCGGGTATGCAGACCCCTGGGGAGCAGAGCAAAGGAAGAGGTGTAGGTGGAGATTTTTGCTGGAGCAGTAGCCTTTAAACATAGTGCTGGAGCTGCCATGGGCTTGTCATCCCGCCTGGCCTGGTGGAGAGAACAGACTGTACTTGGCACTGGTTTTATCTGTACTTTCTAGTTCTCAGCCCTGCGCTGGGCGCTGCTGGGAATCCTCAGGGGCATGGTGGGGAGGAACCCTCCTCTCTAGGCTCCGGAGAAGTAGCAGTTCCACTCCACAGCTGCCCATGCACCCTAAGAACGGGCATAAGTCATGCTGCCGGAGTCTTTTTTTGCAGTAGTCATATTAAGTCCGGCGGGGGGGCCCTTGCCACTACGTGGCCTTAGTGTCAGCAAGCTCTCTTTGCCTGAGGGAGAAAGGTGCTGTTGCCCCTTAAGAAGCCTGGGGGATACACAAGGGTCTTAATTTTCAAGTTTTATTTTGTTTAAAATTTCCTGGTAATTGATGAATTTTTATTAGAAAAAAAAACGGGTGAAAACTGGTGCAAAAAATTATCTTCACAGTTTTCTGGGTAGATATCGGGGTTAATATTTGGGGATGCGAGGATAGGAAAAAAAGCAACAAATAGAGAAAAATAAGAATATTGAAAGTAAAAGCAGTTTAATGCTCTGGTTCGTTTCAGAGGAGCAGCCGTGTTAGTCTGTGTCCGCAAAAAGAACAGGAGGACTCGTGGCACCTTAGAGACTAACCCATTTATTTGAGCATAAGCTTTCGTGAGCTACAGCTCACTTCATCGGTTGTACACATGGAGGCACATGTCTATGTGTGTGCATCTTCCCCACTACATTGTCTGACTTTAACAGACAGCGTCACATTTACACCAAGACTAATGTATTATTAACAGAAACACATCTACCTATTGTAATGGATTGGATGTTCTGAACTTACTCTGTCTTTTCATGTACTTGACTGATTCAAAAGTTGGATGAAAAGCAGGAATACCCCAATAATAGCTTTTGTAAAATGTGGGAACTTGTCGGTAAAAATTGTTAAAAACTGAAAACAAAGGGCCGTAGGGATACTCCAGTCAAGCACCTGGCTGTAATTCTGAGATTCCCTCCTTGCCCAACTCCAGTCTCTCCAGCTAGGCCCTATATTGTATTCCTGGTTAGGGGATTGCTACTGTGCCTGGCAGCGTCCTTTCTGTACTAGAAGACACAGAGGGGTCTCATGTATCTTTTGCTCCCTGTATACCTGCTGCCTGGTCCCCCTCTCACCCTGGTGGCTGAGTTAGTGCCTTCCCAGCTTCTGCCCCTCCCCAGGCTCCATATGCAATCCCACAGCAACCTGGTTTCTTTCCCCAGCCTCCCCTGATGCCGCCCAATCAGCAGGCAGGCTGGCTTGTTCCTGCCTGCTTTCCCAGCCTTCTGGCTCTCTCTGCTGCTGGCTTTCCACCTGCCAGTTCTCCACCCAGACCTGCTCCTCCATTCTTCCCTGGACTTGCCAGCTCCACACCTTTAGGTGGAGAGACTTTCCTAATGTTGTCTCTGCTCCCAGTGTGTGTGTGTGTGTGTGTCTCTGGGGCCAGCTATTTAAAGGGTATTTGTCCTCCTGAGTCCAGGCCACTGACCTGGGTCTTCCTTCTCGCATCCAGACAAACCATGACACAAGACACTTGGGTGGGTGGGGAATGAACCTGTGGATCTGCTCTAGTATCATCCCCATTCTACAGGGCGGGAAGGGAACCTGAAGCACAGAGAAGCAAAGTCACTAACCCAGCGAGTCAGCAGCGGAGTTGGGTTTAGAACTCAGGTCTCTTGATGACCATTCCTCTGATCTAACTAGAGCATACTGCAGCCCTGAGTTAGGAGGCATGCAGCGTCTCTTTGTATTCTCACCCTGCTCTTGGGTCCTAGCTAGCCCCACCCTCTCTCATTTTTTGACTTATTCTGGCACCTTGGCCCAATCCAGAACCCTCTTGTGCAAAGCCCTGTTGTGAAATCAGGCAGCTGGCACACACGTTTCACAGCAAACCTTTATTATCTGGACCTCAGCAAACTTGTTCCTGGATCACTGTATAGAGATTCATCTGAAAACGCTGGGTGCATCCACATGGTCACTTTGCATCTGGTGCAGATCTGCACCCTTCTGCTAGTCCTCAGGAATGCCTACAGCTGTGGTTCTTATGATGATAGGCACTTTGGCCACAACTGTGGTCATGGACCAGGGAAGATAAACAGTCCCTATCAGCTCATACCGGACTTCCATGATATCGTTAGCTATGGACATGCTGCTGACAGACAGTAACTTGGGCAGGGGGAATATGCTGGTGATCTTTGTGACCTCAAAGGAGGCTGCCTTGGTCTTGGACTCCAGCCTCATCACTTCGTTTCGATCTTCCAAGAAGCGCCGTTCTGCCCTGACGGTGTAGCCCAGGTAGAGGATGATGGAGTACAAGGCAAAAACCACCTTCCTGATGGACCTTCCTGTCTGGTTGTCAATCTCTGTTGTGAAGATGATGTGTTCACCGGGGGCGAATGTGTTTTTCGCCAAGGAAATCCGGAGGATGACGAGGCCGTGTTTGAAGCAGCAATGATAAGCTATGTGCTTGTCGACTTCCACCACCAAAGGGTACTGCATGGGGAAGGGGGAAAGGTAGAGTATGGTGAGTGCCTTTCACAGGATACAATATGATTGCCTTGGTTCCTTAAACACATGTAACTGCAGATGCAGGAGCAGAGGCTGCTTCACACTGAAAGAAATCTGCAGACACCCAAAACTTCATGCTGCATGTGTGGCCCTTTGTACTTCATAGAAGCAGTGAGAAATAGACCTCACATTCTTCTCCACAGGCCCCTGTCACTTGAGCTAAAGGAGAATTTTTGTTAGCAGTCCAGGGCATATGACACACAGCTTAGCAGTCCTGATTCCATCCAGTAGAGAGCAAGGGAAATGCACACAATATATACCTACACCAAATTCAGGGGAAGGCCACAAACGGGCCATTAAAAGTAGCATTTTCTCACCATCTTGATGCAATGATTAGCATTAGGTCTCAGTGTAGGTGATTTCGGTAACGCTGGCAGATTGTATGCTGTGCAAAGTTCACTCAAGGGCTCAGACCCCAAAGCAAAAGAATAACATTAATAGTCACACTTCTCTAGCCCCTTCCATCCATGTACCTCAGAGCTTATTACAAACAAGAATGAATGAAGCTTCGTTATCCACCCTGTGGGGTAGAGAAGAGTTATCTCCTGGTGCATGCGTCAGGAAGGAAGATGGCAGAATTTGCTGACGGTGCCATTTAAAACAGAATACTAAAGATAGTAATAAGGTTAGGAATCACTGTATTATTTACACGACACCATAAATGTGTATGGGGCTGGGTGCTGTCAATAATACAAGTCAAGTAATAAAAGGCCATAGGCGTGAATCAGAGCTCACTTACACTACCATAATTCCATTGACTTCAACAGAGTTAATCCTGATTTACACCTGAGAGAGAGCAGAGTTTGGCTCTACGGTCCAGATTCTCATTGACGCTCAGGCCCTTTTACACCACTCTGGCAGTGCAAAGGGGCCTTAGCATAAATGGGAATCAGGCCCCGTGTCTCTACCCTAATGAATTTGCAGTCAAAGGGGCTAATCCTGATGCATGTGAGTAGCTCTACTTACCCATTGAGTTCAATAGGACTACTCATGTGAGTAATATTTTCAAGACTGATCTCTGGGATATATGTAATAATGTAGCCGTGAAATAAGAACATGCATAATTATTGTTCAGGGAAAATGATGTGTGAGGAGGCTGTGTACTGGAAGCCTCGAGATGCTGAATGATTCAGGGTCCCTTTTTTTTCCTGTACCATTTTGGCTGGGATGTTAATGTTCTCTGCACCTTTTAGGGTTCAATTCACTATCAACGCTCTTCTCTTCTTTAGTGTTAAATCCAGTTTCTGCTGTTACTCCACATCCTTAGGGACACTTGACACTCCTGAAAAGGAGCTGGGTGTTTCATCCTACTAGGCTCAAGTGATTCTGCAGATTCTGGTTGCCCCAGGAACCAGTGTTGCTGAGGGGGAGATTTCTCCTGACTCTGCATGGAGCATGGATTTCAAGGCCAGAAGGAACCATTGTGATCACCTACTCTGACCTCCTGTAGAACACAGGCCATAGAACTTCCCCAGAATAATCCTTAGAGAACATCTTTTAGAAAACGTCCCATCTTTATTTACAATTTGCCAGTGATGGAGAATCCGCCACCATTGTTGCAAGGGATATTGACCATCACTGATAAAAATGTATGCCTCATTTCCAGTCTGAATTTGTCTAGCTTCAACTTCCAGCCCTTGGATCATGTTAGACCTTTTTCTGCTGTATTGAAGATCCCATTCTCATGCATTTGTTCCCCATGTAGATACTTATAAAGTATAATCAAGTCACCCCTTAAACTCCTCTTTGTTAAGATAGACTCAAGCAGCTCAATCTATTTATCATTATCAGGCATGTTTCCTAATCCTTTGCTCATTCTCATGGCTCTTGTCTGAACTCTCTCCAGTTTATCAACATCCTTCTTGAATTGTGGACACCAGATCTGGACAGCGTATTCTAGTGGCAATTGCACCATTGTCAGGAGTAAAATAACCTCTATACTCCTACTTAAGATTCCCCTGTTTATGTATCCAAGAATTGCATTAGCTATTTTGGCCACAGCATTGCACCCAGGAGCTCGTGTTCAGCTGATTATCCACCAGGGCCGCCAAATCTTTTTCAAAGTCACTACTTCCCAACATAAAGTCCCTCATCCTGTAAGTATGGTCTGTATTCTTTGTTCCTAGATGTATACAATTACATTTAGCTACATTAAAGCACATATTGTTTTGCTTGTACCTGCTACATTGTTTAAATCATTGTAATTTTAACAATGATCTTCAAAGGAAACAGATAATGGTTGCATGAAATTTTTTCTGCTTTATGATATAGAGAGAAGTCCTGGAAGTTCTTTTCCCACAATGCCTGTTCTTTTTTTAAACCTCCCTATAAATATCAGGAAAGTTCAGCCTGTACGCTTGAGAAAGAAGCCACGGGGAACATCTGTTGACCAATGTGGGCTAATGAGACCACGTTACTCCAGTGTTCCATCTCTTCACTGGCTGCCAGTTGAATATCAGATTGGGCTAGAAAGCCCTGATGGGGCTGAGGCAGATGATGCTACCAAGCCTAGAGTCATGGGGGTCCCTGTGGGACAGACTGAAATGTGAAGTTGACGTTTTCCTCTTACAGTGTCACTTACCATGGAGCCATGAGGAATCGAGGTGTCTCCTCCTTTCGCCATGGCCCTGTTGGGGCACATCTCCTATTTCCCCTATTCTCCTCTTTAATAGGAAACCTCCAGCCACTAATTCCCCAACTGCCCTCCACAAACATACATGCCATCCTATTGCTACCCTTTACCTTCCATGGAATTGCATCGCCTTAGCTGACAAGGCCGAGCAATTAGGTGGGAGAAGGTCATGCACTGACTCTTAGGCTTGGCCTGCACACCGCTTTTGTACCAGGATAACAATGTCCATCAGGGGTGTGACTTTTATTTTATTGTTACCAGTATAAGCATCTTTATACCAGTATAACTGCTTCTACTTTGGGGTGGGGTTGGGTGGGGCTGGAGTGTACCACTTTAAGTATACCAGTGTACTTAAAGTGCACATGGTACAACTTTTGCATGTAGCCATGCCCTTAGCGTGCGCGGCCCTGATTCAGGTGGCTTTACTGTGGGTCCCCATCTTTGCTTGAACCAGCTCCCAAGTCCTGGTCTTGATCGCCAAAGCGCCTCGTAGGCCAAACTAAATGTCTTTGGAAAAGGGGAGCGAGGAGACAATTCTAGGTTCTGTGTGTAGACCACCTGTCTGGACTTATGTAGTTTTGTAAGGATGCTCCAATACCACAGGGATGGGCCTGGCACAAATAGCTAGCTAAACCTCATTGGGAGCAGCATTGGACCCTTACACTCTTTTTCTGTCCTCCTGTCACAGGAAGAATATTCTCTATTTACTTTACCTGGGATTGTATTTTATCTTTAAGGATGCCAGAGGTCCCTTGCACTAGTAAATATTTCTTCTGCTTGGCTAAGATGAGCTCTCGACTGGCGCAGGAGGCTTTGACGAAGTAGGAGACACGGGCTATGTTGCTGGTGAATGTCGATGGAAGTCTGTCAGGTAAGTTGAAATGGAAGTCAAAGGTGTGGGTGCCCGAACCTAGCCAGTTATCTGAAAGCCAAACGACACTCCCTCACTTACCGAGCTAAAAGATAACCTCTTATTTATGGGCTGCCTTGCGTTCTTGATGGAATTTTTTTAATGAGGGTAGCAACCCTCAGCTGCTTGCAAATTATTTTTAGGGGTCTGTTCGTGCCGAATGCTGAGCACCCTCAACTTTTAATGTGGTCACTAGGCATGAAGGGTGCTCAACAGCTCTCAAGCCCTACAGAAGTCAGGCAATGGAATACCTACTTCTCCTTTATTGGTGTCACTGGACATAACAAACCCTCACAGAGCCTAAGTCTCCACAGCCTGGCTTTTTGTGTTTTCAGTTACACCCGTGCAAAGTGGGGGTAAAATTGCTATCAGGTCACTCACACCACTGATAATATTTTACTTTCGCTTTGCATTAATGTGAATGACACACGATGCAAGGCCATGGAAAATCATTTCAGTGTTCTGCTTCTGCCTCTTTCTTAAATTCAGTTTGTAGTGTAAGCAGGTGCAATTACACTGAATTTAATGAAGAGGTTTCCTGCTCGCACCAAGCTAAAGTTGGCCTTGTCTCACTTTGAACTGATAAGACCATCTTTCTGATATAATTCCCCACATACAGGTACTCTTTTGGGATTTAGAATGCCTTTTTCTTTTTCAGTTTAGTTTAAACCACTTCTAAAGAGACATAAGCTAAACTGAAAAAGGCACTCTAAATCCCAAAGGAGAATGTGCACATAGGGAGTTATACTGCATAGCTAAAGTAGTGTAATTACACTGGTATAGGACTGCTGGTAAATTTTGTGAAAGAAACCTTGAGAGTTGTGGTTTCTTAGTATCTCTGAAAATCAGGCTGTTTATTGAGGAGACTAAATATGGATTTACGTGCCTGCCTTTAGGCACCCAATTTTGAAACATTTGGCCTTTAAGATCTAGAGTTGAAAAGTGTCATAGAAGCACTGCTTGTTGTTGTTATTATGCTAAATATCAGAAAGATAATTTCACCCTAGATTTACAACAACACCTGGCACAACTTTGAACTTGTAGGAGGAATTTACTTGCCACGGTGAGGGGTAATAGGCTAAATCCAAGACTTGATTGCACATGTAGGAAAAATGACTTTTCTGGTGGGGCATAGCCTTTAAACCCTAATAGTCTAGGAGGAGTTGCAGTCTGACCATTGGAGGTCATAGGTCAAATCCAAGATTTAATGCATTGACATGCAGCCTAACCTTCAACTCTTAACTACCTAGGAGGAGTTCACAACACACTGCTTTTATATTCCTGTGAACATCAGGGATTAGCTAATTCTATATGTAAAAACACAGTAAGACCCTGACTAATTTTCATTTACCTCCTCTGTGTAACTTATAACCTCCCTGCCTCTCAGCAAGGCTATAACAACATAAGCCATAGCGAGGTCTCATATTATCAAGATTTCATTATTTTTACAAAATATACTGTGGTACACTTACCACCACATAAAAAAATTAAAAATGACAGTTGACAAAATAAATGAACAAAGTACATTGATACCTGGTCTAAACTTAGGACTTGTCTGCACTTAAAATGCTACAGTGGTACAGTTGCATCGTAGTTCTTCAGTGTAGACCAGTGGTTCTCAACCCCTGGCCTGGGGGCTGCTTGCAACCCAATCAGAGCATAGCTGTGGCCCATGTGAAATCCTCAGGACCATACAGGTAGTATATATATTGTGTGGATGCGGCCCACATAACACATAGAGAGCGCCATATGCAGCTCAGTGGTAAATAGGTAATCCACGTCCCAGAGAGGTGGTAGCTAGGTCAGTGGAAGAATTCTTCCGTCGACCTCGCGGTGTTTACATGGGAATTTAGGTTCGTTGGTTTAACTACGTCACTCAGCGCTGTGGATTTTTCACAGCCCTGAGCAATGTAGTTATATTGATTTAATTTTCTAGTGTAGACCAGGCCTTAGAGGTTTTATTGGCATAGCAATATGTTATTTAGGGGTATGATTCTTTACCTACATAGCTATGCCAGTAAAAGTCCTAGAATAGATGGAGTTATACTGGTATAACTGTGCTTATGCTATTACAGATTATGCTGACTGGGAGATTTACATATGTTATACTGGTATAATCACTTTTATCCCAATATAAATGTGTTCACTCTAAAGGATTTTCATCATCTAGCTATACTGATATAACTATACCAGAAAACCCCTCCTAGTTTAGACAAGGTCTTAGTGATGCATTACTGTAACTATATGTATACATATGTACACACACTTACTATGGGCCAGATTGTGATCCCTTTATTCACATTGAGTGGTACCTTACCCCACAAATAAACCCTTAGATTTCAATGGGACTATACATGGTGTGAACTACTACTAAGTGAGAGTAAGTGTATCTCAAACTGGCTCTGATGTGCAAAATACCATCTCCTGGTTTCCTTTTCTCCTAATACAAGGACAAGGGGACATTCCCGGAAATTGAAAGGGAGCACATTTAAAACGGATAAAAGGAAATACTTTTTCTGCACAAACACAGAATTAACGTTGGGACATCCATTGCCACCATTTTTCATTTACACTTTTAAAAAAATATAAATCCAAATAAATAAAGACCTCATGGAAGCCAAGAGGTCAGAGGAAATAAAAGGGACTGGACTGTTACATGGATAATGAGATCATTATCAGGGTTTCAGATTAAAATCAGATCAGAGTTTAAAATTAAATATTTTTTTAAAAGTGCCAAAGTTCAGCCTCCTGCTTCAGGGCTTAAGCCAATATCTAATCAATAAGGTTAGGAAGAAATACTTCCTGTGGGCAGGTTATCACATAACTGTCTAATGTAGTGTTTCTTGCATTTTTCTCTTAAGTGGTTGGGGTAATGACAGGACACAGGACTAGACTGATCACTGATCTGATCCAATATGGCAATTTCTGTGTTCACTAGTGCAAAATTAGTGAGGTTTTACTCTGTGTTCTTTGAACTCTATGGTTCCAATTCCTTACCCGCTATTTTGAATGTCTTTGTTTTATTGATGTAGTCAGCCTTGTTATTGCAGACAATGTCTCTGCTGTAATCCTTGTCAGCATTAATCTCTTCATTCCACTCCAAATAGCCTCTTCCCACGAGCTCTACCTTCACTATGGGATTGATCAAAGATTTGTTAAGGCTCAGAATCACTTGGCCATCTATGCTGGAGCCTGCCAAATACACCGTATCTTCAGGCAGCACCAGGTTAATCGATTTCACCACCGACATCAGGGAAGAACAGAAGCCGGCTGTTGTCTGTGCTTCCTAAGGATCTGTGTGTGTCTGTGATGTCAAAGGTTTGTGACATCACTGCATTTACAGTGAGTGCTAAGCATCTGCGGTTCTGTTCGGCTTCGATAGCAGTGCCAGCTTTCAGGATTTGTCCCAGTAATGTTTTTGAGGTCCTTATTATTTAGTACTTGTATTATGGTAGTGCCTCAAGGCCCCTACTGAGATCAGTGACCCATTGTGCTGGGGCCAAATATACATTCTAAATAGACAAGACAGACACAGTCTGGGAGGGAAAACAGAGAATAGAACCCCAGTCTTGTGATTCCTGAGACTCTTTTAGGGATTAGAGAGAGGGGACACTTCAGGAAGACAGTTTGAGGGGTCACGGCCATCAGGGGAGGGCACTTGCTCATCTTTGCCAAGTTTCCTTGGAGTTTGCATGCACTACTTTTTGTCAGCAAGTGTCTTATGAGGCGTCATGAGGAATCTGTTTGCTGAGAGGTCCATTGTTCTGCCACCATTTGTTTCAGACTGAATAATGCTCCATATTTCTCGTGCTTTTTATGAGCCACAGGGGAAGTGCCGGGCTCTTGCCTGCAGACCAACTTTTCTTGCAGGCACTGGCCCTGATTCAGGAAAGCAATGAAGCACGTGCTTCAGGTTCAGCACAGGTTTAAGTGCTTTTGATGCCTTGATTTCTTTTGCTAAACTATTAATCCTGGGAGATGAGCTGAGTAGAGGAAACAGTGCATGGTATCAAAGGTGTGGCTTCAGAGATATCTTCATGGATGGAAGGAACAGAGCCCACTCTGAGCTGCTGGGTTTTTTTTCTCCTTCCCCTTTTTGTGGAAATGATATGTGTCCAGCAGCTCCTTGCCTCAAATCTCCTGTGGTGCCAGAGGGGAAGTGTTTCAGAGCAGCAGCCGTGTTAGTCTGTATTCGCAAAAAGAACAGGAGGACTTGTGGCTCCTTAGAGACTAACAAATTTATCTGAGCATAAGCTTTGGTGAGCTATGGCCTACTTCATCGGAAGAATGAGGGGAAGCGGAGGGTTCTGCTTGCCAGGGGCAGCAGCTCTGACGGGCTGTTCTTGCAGAGGAGACCGGAAATGGGGAAAGGGACTCAATCCGCTGGTTTCCCCAGGAGGGTAGGCCAGTAGCTTAGGGCAGAGGGGACAGGTCTGCAGCATTTGTCATCACGATACATTGCAAGCAAGGGGGATGGAGCTGAAAGTTGAATGGAGGGGAAACGGGTGCTCAAGAGACCCTTACCTCCGGCGGCCCTGCTGAGGGTGAACTCCAGCCCTCTCCCCTCTCGTGGTTTATTTCCTAGAAACCCCCTGCCCCGTGGCTGTGCGCTGTTCAACTTCCTCCCCGCTCCACCCCAGAGGAGGCAGCATTTCCCCACTGATTTCTCTCGGGAGGGGGCGCTGAGCAGGGCTGAGGTGAAAGGAGCTGTCGGCATTTTACCCCCCGCCGGAGAGCGCTCCCCGCTTCCCAAGCCCGAGGCTGGGACGAGCCCCCCAACCACCGGGGGGGGGGGACACACCTCATTCTTCTTTCAGGGGACTGGCCAGGATGGGAACGGAGCAAGCCCCAGGCGGGATGCCGCGGCACCTCCCACCCTGCAATGCTTCGGGACCCCCCCTCCCCACCGCACCCGGGCATGCGGCGGGGGGCACCCCTCGCTGCAGGCAGGGGGCCGCGGCAGCAAGCCCCCCCCCGCACGCCGGCATCCCTCGGGCCGGGCGTGGGCTCCTCCCCGTCTTCCTCCTTCCCGCCACCAGCCACCAATCGGCAGCGGCCCGCCCCACCCCGGCCTTTCCCGCGCCAAACTCCAAAGCCAGCCGCGGGGTTCGCGGGCGGCAGCAGTCGCGGCCGGGGGGTGGTGGGGGGGGGAAGCCGGGGCGGCCGTTGCCACCCGGCGAGCGGCTCGGGGCTGCGGGCGCCCGCTTGGCAGCACGTGGCAGCAGCGCCGGGGAGCGCTGCCGTGTGACCCCAGCGGCGGACGGAGGCGCCCGCCCTGCCCCAAGCTCCCGTCCCGCTGCGGGGATTGCGAAAGGTGAGTGTCTCCCGTGGGGGGGGGGGGTGAATATTGCACTGGCTTATTTGCAGGAAAGGGGTTTGCAGCGTGAGCGGGGAGCAGCCCCCGTGGCAAACGGGAGAGACTCTTTTGCCCCCCTCCCTCCCTCCCCCAGCAGAAACCAAGTGGCTGCAAACATCGCGGCTCCTGTAACTGTCCCAGCTGGGATGTAAGCGGCAGATGTTGTAGGGTGACTGTTACATTTTGTTCGTAAAGGGTTTATTTATAGCGACGGGGGGTTATCTCGTCAAAAGTGGTATCCTCTAGGGAAGTTGCTCAAGTTGGAGATCAAGTCCCTGCAAAAGCCCTGGTGCCCCTGCCCCTTATGAAATACCAACGCGGAACGGAGCAACTTAAGTTTTTCTGCATTTTTATTTTTTAAAGTTTATTGTAGAAAGTGGGGAGGAGCGATTTGCAGATTGCTTCTTCACTGACAGCAGCTAGGAAGCAGGGGATCCCCTGAGCCCGCCTCCCAAGGGCAAACAGAGAGAGGGCAAGGCTCTGCCAAAAAAGTGTCTTGCCATAGGAGCAAATGCCAACGGGCAGGGAGACATTTTGAGTCGTGCAGAGTGTTTATAATGTCGATGTTTAGAAGATGGGATCTTGGTCGTACAAGGAGCATCTGCTGTGGGCTTTGCAAACGTGGGATACGAACACAGTAGCTCCTCAGAGAGACAGTCTCCGTCTTTAAGCAGTCTGTCTTTTTCCCAGCTCTGTCCCTTACCCGCAAACTCTAACTAGTTCGTTGTATATCAGTAGAGTAAATTGTGTGCCCCTATTTATAGAGTGCAACATTTACCAGGTATGCATAATAAACGGATTCTACCTTTCCGCATCTCCAAGTACAAGCAGAGACAAAGTTCTCTGTGCCTCGAGTCCTGAAAGGCAATGGGAAGGCAGTCTGGAGACTGCAATCGGTTTTTATTTTTAAAGCCTATTTTTAGAGAGAATAATAGGTTTAGGTAATCAGCTGGCAGAGTCTTCGCCTGAATCCCTCACAGTTGCCAGCAGGGAGCAGGCCCTTTCAGAAAGTGAAAGCTCCTTTCCTGCTGTTGGGTGCTGAGGGGGAAACTAGAAATCTTGCAGTTGTATGTGAAATTCATTTTAGGGGCTGGTGGGGAGGGTGGGTTTGCAGCTTTTATTGGGTTGTCATTGCAGGCACAACTTGGAAACACCTCTCCCTGAGAAAAAACAAATTGAAAGTTTAAAATGTCCTATTCCCCGGGTGGCATTGAGAGCTTGCCTGTGATTTGAGCTCTGGTTGTACTTGGAGAGAGCCCTCTGTCTACATGTTCATTGGCAGTGTATGACAAACGAGGAACTCCCTCCCAAGTTCAGGCACAGACCAATTCACTGTCAAAAAAACCGTCCTACTGTTCTCAAGTTCTAAAATTTAAACTGTACAAATCACCTCTTTCTCCCTCCTTCCCTACTTACTTCCTTGAAGAGGATTTGCAAACTGCCATAGACTACCCTCAAATGCGTAGTTTGCATTCCCATGTCCCCACCCCCACAAAGACTCCCTGAAAGTTTGCAGGTGTTTGTTTTAAAAGGCCACCCTTGCAGCTAGAAACAGAATTATAGAGGCTGGCAACAGCGCAGCTTCTGTAGTAACTTGGTCTCTGCATGCACTTGGAGGGTTGGGAGACCCATCTGCTGACCACATTCACCATATGCTGCCACTGAATATGGAGACAAGTTGCCCCTCATCCTAAGTGCAAGCAACAATCGGACACAGAGTTCCTAGACACTCACCCTGGTCCCTGAGATGGAAACGTGGGACAGGCCTTCCGAATCTTGCCTTTATTCTTAAACTATGTACTGCGGGGTGGTGGGTTTTTTTTGGGGGGGGGGGGAAGGAAATCGGATTTGCGCAAGACACACTAATTGTCAGCCTATGGCAATTTGGAAACCCCCAACTCCAAAACGTGAGAGGTCCGGTTTGCATTTCAGAGCCTGGCAGAAGGGTGCTGCTACTTTGCAATGGCTTGGTCTGTGCTTGCACTTGGTAGTTCTCATTTGTGATAGGCTGTAGCTAATGCCCAAAAAAGGGACTCCTTCCTCCAGGGGCAGCAGGCAGTGCAGTAAGAGTGGGTGAGTGACCTGTCCTTCTGCCTGTCAGGCTATAAAATGCACCCTAAGAATGTGCCCCTCTATAAAGGCTAAGGAACATTGCAAAATATAAAGGGAGAGTGGGGGAGACAGATTTTGCACCTTCAGTGGCATCTCTCGTTGCCTATTCCACGGGCTACGCCCTTGTCTCCCTTCTCCCTGACCCTTTAGAACTGCCTCTTTAAAAGGCCTGGCAGCTGTCTCCTGTTATTTACATAACCACGCGAGATGTTTGTAAGGGGGGAGGAAACTCCGCGAGACTGAAGAGAGCGTTTCAATTGTGGCGCGAGATACAGTTGGCGCGCGGCGCCTGCCCGCGAGGAGGGAGACGGGACGGCCTGGCGCAGCCTAATCGGCTAGGTTGTGGGGAGGGGCGGGCGTTCAGGGCCAATCGGCGTTGAGGCCGGCCGGCTGCGAGCCAATCATTTGGGAGGAGAGGGCGGGCCGATCGGAGCGAAGGGAGTGTTAGGGTGAGAGGTCTCATTGATTCGGTGGCTGAAGACCGAGCGTCGCCCCCGCTGGCTCGGCCCCAACTTGTGGCTGAGGTGGGCGTTTGGGAACGGAGCGGGCGGCCGGGGGAAGGGGCCGGGGTGGGTTCAGGGGGTGTCCGGCCGGCGCAGGGGAGGATGGCCCCGGGGTGAGGGCTGGGGTCGGGGGATGTCCGCCTTGGGGAGATCTCGGGGGCGGGGGGCTGGTCCCGGGCTGTTTCCGGCGCTGGGGGTGCCCGGCCGGCCGGGGTGGGAAGGGCTGAGGCGGGATGGTCCCTAAGCGCGCGCGGGGCGCGGGGGGGGGGCAGTTAAACGTCTCCCTGGAGCGGGGTCTCGCAGAGACCTGCCCCCCAGGATGGGCAGGGGGTAGGGTGACCAGATGTCCCGATGTTGGGGGCTTTTTCTTATATAGGCGCCTATCAGCCCCCCCCCCCGGTTTTTCACACTTGCTATCTGGTCACCCTAACAGGGGGGCCTGGTGCCAGGCGGCTCTGCCTGCAGACTCTGGGTGTGGAACCAGCCCTCGCGCCCCCCTTCCCCCCCCATCCCGGGACATCCCTGTTGCTAGGTGTGTCACCCGCTCCCCCTTCTTCCTTGGCAGAGCCGCCGCCATGTGGATCCAGGTGCGCACCATGGATGGCAAGGAGACCCACCGGGTGGACTCGCTCTCCAAACTCACCAAGGTGGAAGAACTGCGGCTGAGGATACACGAGGTGTTTGGCGACGGCGTGGAACCCGACAGGCAAAGGCTCTTCTACCGGGGCAAACAGGTACATGGTCTGTTCCCTTTATTAATGTAATGAACCGGCAGCCTCCAAAAAAACACCCTCACATTTCCCTTCCCATAGCGAAGGGGGGTGAAACTCCCACCTTCTCTACCCCCTGGGCTGCATGACATCAGACAAGGAATTGGCCTTAAATTGTCATCAAAGAAAGTAACAAGTCTAAGGGTAGTACTAATTAGACGTTCTCACCCCACTGGAGTGACCAAATAGTACAATACAAGTCATTACTTTAACATTCATTCACATCTCATCTTGCTCTCCTGATGTTTGTTGGCCAAGTACTGTGGCTTTGAATTCACTGAAAAAATAGTAAAAAGAACAGGAGTACTTGTGGCACCTTGGGGACTAACAAATTTATTTGGAGCATAAGCTTTCGTGAGTTACAGCTCACTTCATCAGATGTATGAAAGCTTATGCTCAAATAAATTTGTTAGTCTCTAAGGTGCCACAAGTACTCCTTCTGTTTTTGCGGATACAGACTAACACGGCTGCTACTCTGAAACCTGAAAAATAGTGTACAGGCTGTCACAATGTTAACCCCATATTCACCCTTTTACAGAACTATAATAAATTTTGTACAAAGTATACCTCATGAGGTATAATTTGAAAACCCATAATTTGCTGATTATTATTGTTGTCCTGTTAAAACTTGTGGCAACATTGCATGTAAAGTTACAGGATTCCTCCGTATGGAGTTACTAAGACATGTTCCATGTCTGAGAGGAGCAGCCACAAATCAGGTGCCAACGAAGTCAAATGGACCATCACCTGGTTACATGGCCATTCTTTGGCAGAGAAGAGGATGTGGGCGAAAATCTAAATCTTAACAAAACAGTTAGGGGTTCCTGTCCAGATAGACTTTGTCTCCTGAACCTCAGCTGGAGATGTTTTTCAAAGAAGAGAGAGAGTTATAAGAAGAAAGGGGAGATGCCCCAAATTATTCCTCCCTT